AGATGATGTCAGGGAAGGCGTGGTTAAGCTCTTTACAAGTCTGAAATTCCTTTAGTCCCCAACATTTCCTCTTTCATTCTCACCTACATTCAAATCTCTATACTGAGGCAACTCTGAAGAAAGTGTTGAGGCCCTAGAACACAGATCTTTTTACTTCAGGCTTTTTAAAAAAATGAACCAAGAATTGAAGGCCATTAAAATAGATTTTTTTTTAATGTACCACGTTATTATTATTATTTTTAATTCTCACCCGAGAATATTTTTTCATCTATCTTCAGACAGAGTAGGAAGGGGAAGAAAGGGAGGAAGGGATGAAGAGAGAGAGAGACAAAGAGACTTTGGCTAGTTGCCTCCCACAGGACCCCCCCCACCACCACCAGGTCTGGGACCTACTGAAACAGAGGTATGGGCCCTTGACCAGAATCGAACCCTTGACTCCACAGGCCAACACTCTAACGGCTGAGCCAAACTGGCCAGGGCTATATATTTTACAGAATCTCTCTTTGAAATCCACATTTTCCCCCTTCTGTGACTTTTTTTTTTTTAATTTCTTTTTTTTTATCCTCACCCGAGGACACCTTTCCATTCTTTGCTCAGATAGAGTGGGAGGGAGAGAGAGGAACGGAGAGAGAGAGAGAAACATCGATGTGAAAGGAACACATCGAGTGGCTGCCACCCGCATGACCGACCAGGGCAGGGGACAAACTGCAACCAAGGTACACGCCCCTAGCGGAAACCGAACCCGGGTCTCTCAGGACCGCAGGCCGACGCTCTAACCGCTGAGCCAAACCGGCCAGGGCTTCTGTGACTATTTTAATTCCAAAGAAAGGAATGGCTATTCAACACATCCTGAGAAAAAAAATCTGCTTTTATTAGGAATTACACATTTGTTGTCTTGATTTGCATTTCCCTAATAATTAGTGGTATTGAACATCTTTCATATGTCTGTTGGCTATCGATATGTCTTCCTTGGAAAACTATCCAGAACCTCTGCCTGTTTTTTATTCAGATTATTTGTTTTTTGTTGTTGTTGAGTTGTATGAGTTCTTCAAACATTTTGGTATTAAGTTCTTATTGGAAGTATCACTTGCAAATATCTTCTCCCCACACACAAAAACATTCTTCCATTTGGATGGTTGCCTTTTTGTTTTTTTGATGGTTTCCTCTGCTGTGTAGAAGCTTTTTTATTCAATGGAGTCCCATTCATTTATTTTTGCTTTTGTTTTCTTTGCCTTTGGAGTCAAATTCCAAAAACACCACTGTAACCAATGTCCAGAAGTTTAGTACCTATGTTTTCTTCTATGTATTTTATTGTTTCAGTTCTCACATTCAAGTCTTTAATCAATTTTGAGTTAATTTTTGTATGTGCTAGAAGACAGTGGTCTAGTTTTATTCTTTTGCATATGGCTGTCCAGTTTTCCCAACACCATTTATTGAAGAGAATTTCCTTTCTCCACTGTATATTCTTGGCTCCTTTATTATAAATTAGTTGCCCATAAACATGTGGGTTTATTTCTGGGCTCTCAATTCTGTTCCATTGGTCTGTGTGTGTTTTTGTTTAAAGCACATATTTTAATCTGTACCTTTCCAGAAATTTTGAGTTTGACTGTTTTCAGTTTTTAATTTTTTTTAATTTTTTATCCTCACCAGAGGACATTTTCCCATTTTTTTTTGTTCAGATAGAGTGGGAGGGGGAGAGAGGAGAGAGAGAGAAAAACATCGACGTGAAAGGTACACATCAAGTGGCTGCCACCCGCATGACCCAACCAGTGCCAGGGACAAACTGCCACTGAGGTACATGCCCTTAGCGGGAACCGAACCCGGGTCTCTCTGGGCCGCAGGTCCACGCTCTAACTGCTGAACCAAACCGGCCAAGGCTGTTTTCAGTTTTTTTAATGTTTTCTTTTTTGTCCTTTTTTTTTTTTTATCCTCACCCGAGGACATTTTTCCATTTTTTGTTCAGATAGAGTGGGAGGGAGAGAGAGGGAGAGAAAAAGAAACATCAACGTGAAAGGGACACATGGAGTGGCTGCCACCCACACAACCAACCAGGGCCGGGGACAAACTGCAACCAAGGTACGCACCCTTAGTGGGAATTGAACCCGGGTCTCTCTGGACTGTAGGCCAACACTCTAACCACTGAGCCAAACCAGCCAGGGCTTAAATGTATTCAACAGGTCCAAGAACTTTATTACATAGACTTGTTCTACTTGAGAAACTGAGTTCTTAATAGAAATGGCAAATAAGCCAACATCAAAATTATAACTTTACCTTGTCATAGAAAAAGTCTAGTAGGGTACATATACCAAACTGCTGCCGTTATTTTCCTTGAGGGGTGAGATTTGGGTAATAAACTTCAGGACATGAAGGAAGGACTTTTAATTTTATATATCTCTTCCTGCTTGTTTTTTTAATCAGCATGTCTTATATTTACTAAAAACTAATAAAACTTATTTTTAAAATTTAACCTTGGGTATAAAAATGCACAAATTACATGAGTAAATCTATTTAAAACACTCTCCCCAAAAGATAAATGTACACATTAAGCCCTATAATTTCAACACAAAAACAAATAGCAATGTTGTAATGCTTTAGTTTAAATATACTCAATAGGCCCTGCTGGTTTGGCTCAGTGGTTAGAGTGTCGGCCTGCGGTCCAGAGAGACCTGGTTTCGGTTCCCACTAAGGGCATGTACCTTGGTTGCAGTTGGTCCCCAGCCCTGGTTGGGTCGTGCAGGTGGCAACCACTCGATATGTCCCTTTCACATTGATGTTTTCCTCTTTCTCTCTCTTCCTCTCTCTCCCTCCCACTCTATCTGAACAAAAATAAACAAACAAACAAACAAACCCAATAGTCACAAACCTACATATACACACAAGGAATCATATATATAGCCACAAAGTGATGTCATCATAACACTGACCTGTAAAACCTCAAAGAATTCTTGACAAATACATTAGGATGTATCTACTCCCCTGCCAATGTTTGTGAATTGCTTTTCAAACCTTACAAGTTATCAAGAAGAGATTAGAAGATGGTTAAATGTTTTTTTATACTACAAGTAGGGAAGGGAGTAGAGAGCTAAGAAAAGAGATTTTAGATAACATCAAATACGTGAAAACTCTAATAGGAAAAAACTAATTCCTGTAATTCATTTTACTTTTTTGTAATGTCTCTGGTTAACTGGAGAGAATTGGAGGGAAAAAATTAGGAAGGAAACTTTCATATAGTACTATGTAAGATTTGAAAAGAATAAAGACAGCCCTGGCCGGTTTGGCTCAGCAGTTAGAGTGTCGGCCTGCGGTCCAGAGAGACCCGGGTTCGGTTCCCACTAAGGGCATGTACCTTGGTTGCAGTTTGTCCCGGCCCTGGTTGGGTCGTGCAGGTGGCAACCACTCGATGTGTCCCTTTCGCATCGATGTTTCTCTCTCTCTCCCACTCTATCTGAACAAAAAATGGAAAAAAAAATGTCCTCGGGTGAGGATAAAAAAATAATAATAATAAAATATAGAAAGAAAGAAAGAAAGAAAGAAAGAAAGAAAGAAAGAAAGAAAGAAAGAAAGAGAGGGAGGGAGGGAGGGAGGGAGGGAGGGAGGGAGGGAGGGAGGGAGGGAGGGAGGGAAGGAAGGAAGATGAACTATCCCTCTATCAAAATCATACATCCATATGTGTGTGCATGTATTATAAATAGCCAACACAGACCCATATTTTTTTAAGTATATAAACAGAATGAATATCATATAAACTAATACCTATAAACTAACACTAAGTGTTTTGGGCCTAAACATTTACCCACAGCCTTGATCACATACTCTGTTTAAAATCTACCTGTAATAGTCTCTTTAGGTATATGAAAAAGCAGCAGGAATCATTCCCCACCCTCTAACACTCCATCAGATATCAAAAGATCTCTAAATGTCTATGATACCTTCTTTTTCTTAAAATTTTTTTTTTCTTTATTGATTTTTTTGGGGGGGAGAGGGAGACAGAGATATAAACATCGATGAAAGAGAACATCAATTGGCCACCTCCTACATGCCCCCCACTGGGGATTTGGCCCACAACCGGGGCTTGTGCCCTGACCGGGAATCGAACTGGCAACCTCTTGGTGCATGGATCAACGCTCAACCACTGAGCCACACCAGCCCAGTTGTGGTATCTTTTTTCTTCAAAGAACAGTTACAACACTGATAGAGGGTATAGGATCTTTCTGTTACAGCATGAAGTTTCTCCTAATCAGCACTGTATGCCCTGAAATGCCAAAAAACTGCCAAGGCAAATGTGGACATGATGTCCACCTCTCTCCAAACTGCCCATGTGCCCAAGCAAAGACAACTCTTTGGCAGTCTCAGGTTAATCCTAAAGACTCCAAGGATTCCTGCTGAGCCTGGATATCAACAGATCTCAAAGCACCAGCTCAGAAGCAAAACCTAAAGAATCACAGACCTTTCTGCCTTAATCCTAAAGTGTGTCTTCTCTTAAGGCTCCTTTCCTTCAGGCTGGGTAGGGTAGGGTCTCTATCTAGTCTAGAAGAGTATGCCCAGTTCTTGATGAAGCTGTTGTGATTTCATCGACTACATTTTGCTACCTGATAATGCTGGTGGAATGGGTAGGAAGGAAGGTGGGTGGAGGAGAATGGAAACAGTTAATCAAAAAGATAAAATAATATTGGAGGGGGATAGGCTAGGGACAGGGTCTGAGATGACCTATTATCCCTGTGGAGATTAGGTATATCAGCAGAAGTCAAACTAACTTCATTTCTCAAAGATAAAAACTTGTTTTTAATTATCCTGCCTTCTCAGGCCTCACATACAAAGACTGTAAATTCCTGGAACTTCAGAACCAGGTAAGAAAAGATGCCATAAAGTGGTAGAAAAGGGAGAGGTGCTGAGATGAGAAAGGAATCCTTTTCCTGTCTTAAGGAGAATGTTATAGCCAAGAGCACTCCCGGATCCCCAGAAAGGAAGTAGCTGAATTCCAAAAAAGCACTTTTCCCTACCTTTTTGTTGTTCTTGTTATAGCCAAAAGTCGAAATCCCAGGTCTGGAAGTCACTGATAGCAACATTTTCTCTTTAATATTAGGGAGCTAAGAAAGAGGAGAGAGAGAGGGACAAGGAGGGAAGAGAGGGGGGAGAGAGAGAAAGAGGGAGAGGGAGAGAGAGAGGGAAAGAGAGAGAGAGAGAGAGAAGGAGGGGAAAGGAGGGAGGGAGAGGGTAAAGTAAGGGGGAGGAGAAAGGGGGAGAAAAGGAGCAAGAGGGAGAGAAATGAGGGGGGTGGGTAAAGAATGAGCTAGGGCTGCTTGTTGACGTCACTGAGAGAAGTTAACCCAGAGTAAGAATGAAGCACTACCACTGGGTCCTAATGCCCAAGATGTTATTTTTAATTTTTTTTTACAGGCTTAATAGTTAAAGCAAAAAGAAAAGTTCTTAGGTCTGTCCTTTTCAACTCCATTCCCTTTCCTCTATGAACAAGTTCTGATTCTCATGAAAAGACAAGGAGAATTATTTTCCCTTAGATACCAGGTATAAGATTTCAAGCTTGATTTTAAAGGGGCCAGTGGTACACTGCCTTGGAGAACAAGTGAAGAAAACCATACTAAGAATATATGAGATTAGTTCAGGATACCCCCATACACACTTTATAGTTACAGTGATCTTAGTACATGAAGGAAAAAAAACAAAACAGGAGAGCTCACCAAAGAATACAGACAAGCAAAACAGAATATGGGAGATAACTAGTTTCATGTCCTTGGACAGTTCTGTTCTTCTGAGGTCGTGCTGATGCCTCTCACTGCTCTTCAGAGTCCCCCAGGTGTGACTTCATACTTTGCAAGGAATTATCAAACTGGACTATGTCATAAAACTTGGTACCTAATGGTTTCTTTTTTTCGCCCTGGCTTTACTGGGATATAATTGCCTCGTGGTTTCTTCAACTATCTTATTTGACTCTCTATCCCACTATTTCCTCATCTTCGAGGTTCATGAAGCTGAAACAACTAGAGTTACTCACCAAACCTGGAATTTATGCCCAAAATGAAGTTCACAGAGTTGAGATGTTTGCTTCAAGTTGTCTCTCAGCTGTAGGGAAAAAAATCACTATTTAAAAAGCATATGTTTCATAAAAAATAAAAATACAAAGTTCTTAGGAAAGAACATAAACTTAGAGTCAAGAATCTAACACAGCTGCAACAACACTCACCTCTAAGTTTCAAAGGAATGTCCTGTAGAAGTAGCCTTAATAAGAAAAGAAACTTGTAGGAAACCAAAAATTTAAGAATGATACCCAGTAACTCCTACCAATACAAGTGGAACAGGGATGTAACATAAAAACCTTCAAAGTCCTTAAGTCCACCTTGCTGCCATCATGGATATTCTCTTAAGACATAAATTAACCCTGTCTGCTTTGCCACAACCATTAAACCCAAACCCTCCCTTAAATGAAGTCCCAATCTCTATTCTAGGTTTCCTGTCACTTTTTTGCTATGATAATAGGACAGACAGTACTAACATTCTGCAGAGTAAATATGCACGTACCACACCCCCAACCTCTAACTTTCATTTCCAATAGGACAGGAAGTGCCTGCTCAGCTCAAGGGACACAGGAAGGGTGGGAACAGCCTCAATGTGGGAATTGCAACAGAGACTGGAAGCACAGCAGCCAATGCAATAAATAAGTTAATAAAGGCATCTCTCAATGATACCATATTTTTTTTAAGTTCCTTTTCTACCCTCAGAAATTCTCTCTCTTTTTTTTATCCTCACCTGAGGACATTTTTGCATTTATCTTCAGATAGAGCAGGAGGGAGAGAGGGAGGAAGAGAGAGAGAGAAACATCAATCTGAGAGAGACACACTGACTGGTCGCCACCCACACGACCCAACCAGGGCCAGAGACAAACTGCAACCGAGGTATGTGCCCTTACCAGGAGCTGAACCCAGGACTCTCTGGTCCGCAGGCCGATGCTCTAACCACTGAGAAAACTGGCCAGGGTGAGATTCTCATTCATTATATTCCAAAGTATTCTTGCTAGTTCGGCCTTTAGTTAATGATTTCTCCTTTAGCCTAATAATATGGTACAAAAAAAAAAAAATCTTAAAAATAAGGCCTGATTTATAATGGGATTTATAATATCAGTCAACCTAACTTAATTGTTTTAAAATTTTAATATTTTCACCCTCGCCAGTTTGGCTCAGCAGTTAGAGCGTTGGCCTGCGGTCCAAAGAGACCCGGGTTTGGTTCCCACTAAGGGCGCGTACCTCCGTTGCAGTTTGTCCCCGGCCCTGGTTGGGTCGTGTGGGTGGCAGCCACTTGATGTGTCTCTTTCACGTCAATGTTTCTCTCTTCTCTCTCCTTCCCACTCTATCTGAACAAAAAATAAAGAAAAAATGTCCTCAGGTGAGGATAAAAAAAAAAATTTAATATTCTCAGTGTGTTGTGTTCTCCTACTACATTCCTTAATGCTCAATGATATCTTAGAACTAAAAACAGTTAAAACCATGAGTTTTAAAGAGTAGACATGAGTTCAAATCCTGACACCACTGTTAGTCACCATTTATGTGACTTTAGGCCAAGTTAGTTAAATCTCTAATACACTCATTTGCAAAATGGACATAATATTCACACTAGTGTTTGGAATAAAATCTAAGTTCTGGTTTAGTCGTCATTCACAAGCCAAGAGATGCAGGGAGAATTACCTCACATGTTCTGAACCTTACTTTCCTCATGTGTAAAACAAAGTAAATAAATAGTATCTACTTCCTAAAATTGTATGCTATGAAATAAGGCAATGCATATACAGGTGACTGGCACTTGGTAAACTCTCAGATGTTAGCTCCATTAAAATTAATTACTCTACTGTCTCCCACTTAGTACCTTCTGGGTATTGTATAACCTAGATCTGGTGATCTGAAGTGAACATTTCCAAAAACTAGTATCTTAGTTACATTCAAAAGATTATATGAGCACCGGTAGCACATTGAAGGGTCTTGGGTTCTATTCCCAGTCAAGCGCACATACCTGGGTTGCAGGTTCAATCCTTCGCATGCTGGAGGCAACCAATCAAAGTGTCTCTTTCACATCGATGTTTCTCTCTCTCTCTCTCCCCCTCACTGCCTTTTGCTCTATCTAAAAATCAATAAAAAAGATTTTATTTTATTTTATTTATTTATTTTTAATCCTCACCCAAGGACATTTTTTCCATATTTTGTTCAGATAAAGTGGGAGGGAGAGCGAGGAAGAGAGAGAGAGAAACATCCATGTAAAAGGGACACATCGAGTGGTTGCACGACCAACCAGGGCCGGGGACAAACTGCAACCAAGGCACGTGCCCTTAGTGGGAACCGAACCCAGGTCTCTCTGGACCACAGGCTGACACTCTAACTGCTGAGCCAAACCGGCCAGGGCTTTATTTTATTTTTGTTAATCCTCATCTGAGGATATTTTTTCATTGATTTTTTTAGAGTGGAAGGGAAGGAGGGAGAGAGAGAGAGAGAGAGAGAAACATCAGTGTGAAAGAGACACATCGATTGGTTGTCTCCCTCATGACCCAGACCTATGTGCTCTTGACTGGGAATCGAACCTGAGACCCTGTGGTCCACAGGCCAACACTCTAATACTCTAAGTAAAATCTTTGTATTGCCCTGGCTGGTTTGGCTCAGCGGTTAGAACATCGGCTCGCAGACCAGCAAGTCTCAGGTTCAGTTCCGGTCAAGGGCACATACTTTGGTTGCGTTCTGGTCCCTGGCCCTGGTTGGAGTCATATGGGAGGCAACCAATTGATATGTCTTTCTCACATTGATGTTTCTCTCTCTCTCTTCCCCTCCCTCCCACTCCGTCTGAAAATAAATGGGAAAATATCCTTGGGTGAGGATTAAAAAAAAAGTAAATTATGTCAAAGAGCACCAACAAGGCTAAAAACTATATTCTTTATTCTGGTAAGTGTATTTCTAAAGAAAATTATAGAATTTTGTGGAAGTGCTAGAGAAGGCAGTAGAGTTCTATGGTTAGATTCAGGAAGTATATGAGAGGAAGGAGAATCCTATTTCTTCTAGTTTGTTTACTTTGCCCTGCCCTCAGCTTTGCCCATTACAATGCCTCTCAAATTCTTGGTTCTTATGGGTCTAACACCAAAGAGTTGTCTTGAGGTGAAAAAGTAAAATAAGGGTTATTTGGAACTTTTCTAGGAAAGAGACATGTGTCCCTCTGATTTAATACAGACTGGTTCGTAATTTCTCCAGGAAAAAAAACAAACAATAAGTATCTCAGGTAAAGGAGTTGGCTAGACCAACCCTGATCTGTATGTTGAAAGATGCTTGCATGCCACTATTGGCCCCTCTGCATCAGGGTGGAAAACTCAAAAGAATGTATTACCTGAAGATGTGCTACACCCTAGACAGACATTCAAAAGGAGCAAGGTTGATGTGGTACATGCGTCTGAAAGCAGTGAGATAAGGGCCAGTTTTCTACCGAAGTTCTAAATGTGGCTCAGAAACCTGAATAAGGTATATTAGGGCCAAGGACACTTTTTTCAGTTATTAACATTCTCTGTGGATTATCTTTCCTCTCACTGATTAACTTGTGTGCCCAAAAGACCAAGTAATGGAAATAAACCAAACAGTTGAATTTATTTCGTGGTAAAGAGATGAGGTAATTTCTTAGAAAGAAGTGAAAAGAAAGTTTAACATATAGGCTTCCTTAAGCAAGAAAACTTAAAGATGTATCAAACAACAAAGAAAAGCCTACCTCTGCCCCCTTCTGATGTAGGATGGAATAACAGAATTGGGCCATAACTAGAAACTGGGAAAGTGTGGCCTCTCGTCTCCTTGATTTAACTCACTGGAAAATAAGGAAAAAGACAGACAACTCTGAAGAATTATTCATCTCACACCCTATCAGTGCTAGTAGTATATTCTCCTCTCCTATAGCAACAGATACTTTGGTGAAAAATTACAGGGAGTAGCCTAACAAAATTTGCCAGACACTAAAGAAATACAGGAATCAAATTATATAGCATCGTTGGGCCAGAAAATCAGCACAGCTCTGGCCTATGTGGCTCAGTTGGCTGTCCCCTGCACCAAAGGGTTGCTGGTTTGATTCCTGGTCAGGACA